AAAACTAAAAGAACTCAAATATTTACTATTCATAGACTATTGTTTTAGACTTAGATTCACTATTCATTATGTTGCTTGATTTTTTGCCCCTTATCTTTTCGTTAATTTCTCTTTTGACACTCGATGGATTTGAGAAACTTCTTTTTTACCCTTGACTAATTCTCTTTTTAATTTTATTTTTGGGAATTTTTTGTCATTTTCTTCCTTTTTTTTTTTCGGATTGAGCATTTAATGCTCTTTTCTTCTTTCAATGTTTTTTTCCTCTTATTTTCGGCAAGGAAGCCAAAGTCATTTGCTATTCAAGAGTGATTATAAATTAGTCCCTCTTTATTCGAGAAACAAATTAATTAGTCCTTATGGTTCAAAAACAATTTGTTTTGTCCTTTTTGCTACTTCAATGTTTTTATTTTTTGTTTTAAGAAACAGAGAAAAAAATAAATTAAAATATAAAAAAAGATATTTTATAAAATAAAAAAATAAATTATCCATGGTCAACACTGATTAAAAAAATTAAATAATTTATTTTTTAAACCAAAAGAATTAATTAATTCATTTCTCAAAACGAGATGAACCAATTTATAATTTAATTTGTAGTTTAAGAATCTCTTTCATCATGGATTAAGAATTAAAATTTATGGGAACCAATCTTGTAATAGTTTTTATTTCAATTTATTGAATTTAATTTATTCCATACAACTTAGATTTTTTTTTTAATTTTTTTTATACTATGATCATAATATATATATATATATATTTGTTGAAAATTAATTATGTATCTACTTAAATAAAACCATTAATCCATTTGGTTCAATAACTTTTTTTATCCTTTTTGCTATTTCAATGTTTTTATTTTTGGTTTTTAGAAATAGAGAAAGAATTAAAAAATATGAAAAAAAGACATTTTTTAAAATAAAAATAAATTAGTAGTGGTCGACACAAATTAAAAAATTTATTTTTGAAACCAAAATAATTAATTCATTCTTTTTTCACAATCGAAGAACTAATTTATAATTTAATTTGTAATTCAAGAATCTCTTTCATCATAAATTAAGAAAGAAAATTTATGGGAACAAATATTGTAATAGTTTTTATTTTAATTTATTGACTTTATTATATTCCGTACAACTTAAATAGTTTTTTTGAAAAAAAAATTATTTATACTATATATTCTGAATCTACTATATATATATATATATATATATATATATATATATATATATATATATATATATTGAAAATTAACTATGTATCCGAATACACAACACCATTTCAGCTCCAAAACTAACTTTTTGTCCTTTTTTCTATTTCAATGGTTTTGTTTTTTATTTTAAGAAATAGAGAAAGAATAAAACAATAAGTAAAAATATGAGAAAAAAATATTTTTTTAAATAAAAAATAAATTATTCTTGGTCAACGCTGATTAAAAAAATTAAAGAATTTATTTTTGAAACCAAAAAAATTAATTAATTCATTTTTCAAAATGAGATAAACTAATTTATAATTTAATTTGCAATTCAAGAATCTCTTTCATCATAAATTAAGAAGCGGAATTTATGAAAACCAATTTTGTAATAATTTTTATTTCAATTTATTGACTTTAATATATTCCATACAACGTAGATTTTTTTTAAAAAAAAATTGTTTGTACTAATATACTCTGAATCTATTAAGTATTATTATATATATATATCATTAGTTTTGTTAGAAATTAATTATGTATCAAGCATATATAATACTACTTATTTTTTATTTATTCTTTTTTATGTTCTAAAATAAATATTTTTTAAATAAAATAATTGAAATATATATCATTAATTTTGTTAGAAATTAATTATGTATCTGTATACATAATATCAATTATTTGTTATTTATTATTTTTTATGTTTTAAAATTAATATTTTTTAAATAAAATAATTAAAATAATGTTTTGGAAGAACTTTTTAATTATTCAAATACAACTTGTTATGCTAATATTATTGATTATTTTGTTAATAAATATATATAAATCAAACGATTTTTCTTAGTAAATAAATTTGATTTACATTAATTACGAGAAATAAAATTTTTACCCATATTACACTATATGAATCGTTGACCTTACGTATATAACGATTATCCGACCGTAGCGTAACACGGATATCCAACTAGTTGTTTCTAATTAATGTGGATGTTAAGCCATCACATCCTCAAAAACTCATAACAACAACTCGTGAATCATCATATTCATACATTTTCCAAAATGAATAGTCATTTTCGAATTCAATTGAGAAGAAATTTTCCTTATGAACAAGAAAGGATATCTTAATTGGTAAATTTCAGTTTACCCTCCTTAATTTTGTATGATTTTTCAATTTCATTAGAAACCTTTGATTTGCTTTAATTAGATCTCATATATTTCATTTTTACTCTAATCACTCGTCACATCTTTCTTTTTTTCTTTTTTTTTCTCCTAATCAACCCACATACCTTTCACTTTTGTTCAATGTTTCTCCTCCGTCAATTTTTTGTTAGGTGTATAAATTTTAATTTCGTTCTTGAAGTTTAAAAAATATCTTAGTATCATCTAAAAAATAAAGAAAAAATTAATTGCATGAAATTAACTATATATATATATATATATATATATATATATATATATATATATATATATTTTTTTTTTTTTTTTTTTTTTTTTTTTGCTAAAACAAATATGATAAAATGTGAGAATGTTAGTTTATCAAGAAAATCTTAAATCTTATAAATTTCAATTCTCACTTACGAACACCGTGTTTTTTTTCTTTCAATTCTCACTTACGAACACCACGTTTTTTTTCTTTGTCAATACTATAATTAAATGAAAATCAAGATTTAAATAGATTTAACTCTTTCTTTTATTTTTACTTTTTGGTCAAAATTTTCACTATTTTGATCCTTCCTAACTATCATGTCTCCTTCTTTTTTTGATATTATTGTCAAATAGCACTTTTAATATGTGTAAATAATCATGTTTTAAGTGATGTAAAAAATAATGATATACTCAAGTTATCATTACATTCATATGAGACTTTATTTTATTTTTTATTTTTTTCAGAATTCTTACTTAAGATTTTAATGAAAAATTAGATAAAAAGTGTAGATATAATATGTTAGTAAGGGAGTGAATGAGAGGCAACGACAATGGTGATTATATTTTTTTGTTAAAAAATATTTTTTATCATATTTGTTAGTAGCTTAATTTTATTTTTCTATCGTCAAAGGATTGCTATATAGTATTGATGAAATAAAAACAGAAATTTTTTGTTTTATTAAAAAAATTTCTTTTTTAATTTTTTTCAATTTTAATTTATTTATCCTTACATTTTGAGTTATATTGAGATATTTTATAAAATCTAGAGATGAAATTGAAATTTGTACTGTAGAACAAAAATGAAAAATATGAGATTTAATCAAAACACATAATTTTTTTTAAATAAAATTGAGAAAACACACAAATCTCAAGGAAGAAAATCAAAATATACCCTACACCTTCTATTGGTTTAGAAGAGTGATCAATTAATATTGTAAAGAACAAAATATACAATTTTGTTTAATTATTTAAAGTGGAAATTAATATATTTTAAGGATACTTGTAATCTATTGTATAAAAATAAATTAACAAAACCAATGCAAGAGTCTCGTTTGTCTGTACTAAAAGAAGTACGGTATAACCATAGTTCTAAACGACGGTTGAAAAAACGGTCGCGTTCACGATTGCGAATCACGGCTTATCACAACGAGTAAAATAACGATCACAACCATTGATATTGTGAATGCATTAACAATTGTAAATAAATTTATTCTAATTCACATATTTTTAACATTTTTGCTAATTTAAACATACTAATAACTAATAACATCTTTAATAGTTTAATATTATATAAAAATAGTTGAATTTATTAAAAACAATTAATAACATTTCTAATAAATTAATATCATACAAAAAATAATAAATTAATTATTTAATATTTAATTAGTGGTGATCATATTTTATGTAATATTATTTTATTTCACAAAATATTTTTTTCATCAATTTTTTATAATATAAATTTTTTTCGTTTTCTATTTTTTAAAATAAAAAATTAGAAAATAACATAAAATAGATAAAAAGGACTAAATAATTAGTTTTTGAAACAATACGAACTAATTAGTTTATTTTTACAAACTAAAGGGACTAATCTATATTTTACTCACTTAAAGCCTCCATTCCAGCAAGTCTTTGAATTTTGCGCAAATTTGGTTGAATAACAGGGATTAAATTACACATTAGTCCCTTTAGTTTTAATAACTGAATTAATTAGTGTTTTTTTCAAAAATTAATTATTTAATTTTTTTGATGAGTGTTTACCATATTTAATGTAATATTATTTTATTTCATAAAATATTTTTTTCATCAATTTTTTTCATGATATAATTTTTTTAAAACAAAAAGCAAAACAAATTAGAAAATAACTTAAAATGAACTAAATAATTTGTTTTTAAGACAAGAAGGACTAACCTTTTTTTTTTTCAAACTCAAGAGACTAATTTATAACTTATTCAATTAAAGCTGCATTCTCTGTGAATATTACGTGGGTGATGGGTCTATCTTTGTTTCTTTGTCTCTCTTTCCTTCATTATAACTCACGTCTCCTCTTCTTCCTTTCAAATTCTCAACCAGGCTTCCCTTTCTTCATCCTCCTTTCTCTGTCTTTCTAAACCAAGCTTTTCTTTTTTCAACTTTCTTTCTCTCTTTAATTTTCAATCAAGCTTTCTAGTAAGTCCCATTTTTTTTTCATTTTTTGTGTTGGTAATTGATTAAAACATAATTTTAATTTTTTTTATGGTATAACGCTGTTATATAATGATAAATAACAACGTTATATAACGATAATGCCGTTATTTATTGTTATACATATCAAACGATATTGAGGTATGCATAACGCCAAATAACGATAACGGGATACTCGTTTTCGTTATATAACGGCCGTTACGTATTTAAAACCATGGGTATAACTGTCTTTCCGTAAAACCACGCACTCATGGAGTGCTGCATTTTTGGGGAGGGGGGAACAACTTTTTGGTACTTCAGATAAAAAGCAAAGAACTTTAGCATAATTATTTATTGCAAGGTTCTCTTATAATTCAGCAAAAAATATATACCATTAGTTGCATACAAGAGCACAATTAAGATAATGTGACAACAAAAGAAAATTCAGATAAATTATCAGAGAATTAAAATTGCATAAATAAATAAATATGGCAGAAAAAAAAGGATGATACTATTAAATATAATGAATAGCATTAACTATGAAGAGAAATGTATGTGTTTTTTTTTTTTTTTTTTGAAAAAAAAAAGAAAGAAAGAAAGGAAAAAAAAGTGGAAAGCATGGCATCATGGGTTTAGACTTCAGGAAAAAAGGACTCCCTCGTTTTGTTCTATTGTCTTTAAAACAAGACCAAACAGGATAAAACAAGCCCTTTGTGAGTTTGCTCGTAACAATTTAGGAGTACCGCATTCACACACATAAACCCATAACTTTAAAAAGGAGATGGGAATTTGGAAACCCAGCAGTTTAGAGAAACTAACCACCACTAATGGGGTATATAAGGCAACCTATCATTTTATTTTTTCATAAACCCAACACTCTTCGCTTTTTCTTCAATGCTCCTTTCCCTTGCAGCCGTGTAACAGCACACCCAACTATTTACATCCCAATTATTATTATTTTTTTTTCATACAAATCCCCTAATCTAACCCTTCGATTTAAATTCTAATCCTTTATCACAATTCTGAAAGCTAAGCAGCACTTTTTGAATTATTTGTTAAGCTCTTAAATAAAAACTTAAGGAATGATTATACTCACAAGTAGAAAACTAACAACACAATTCCAAAATAATCAACACAACTTACTTGTAGATTCTAGATCACTTTACTTTTGGAAAAAAATTAATCCATTAACTTCAAGAAAAGATTACTTGAATTCTGGATCAAGACAACTTATTTCTTATTACTAGTCTATCACAATCTCAAAACTCACTATATATTATTCTCTTTTGTGTTCTCTCTTTTCTCTCTATGTTTCCCTTCGCTTCCCACCACAGAGAATACACACACTAAAAAATTATAAGATGAGAACAAGTGAGGCAAGTCTTACACAAAAGAACACAAACAACTAAAAGAAAATAATCAAACTAAAAAAAAAAAAAAAACAAGGACTAACTTTTTCTCTATTATATTTGGAACATCATATATATTGAATGATATCCGATTTAAGACATCATGTATATCGAACGACTTTTCTAATTTAAGTGAGAACACACAATGATTCAAGTTATTTTTTAATACTATCTTTTTAAATGTTCTTTAAAAATGTATTTTCAAATAGTCAAATTACTATTACCATACAATTAAAAGATTTGGGGTTTTTGAATAGTAGAAACATTTTTTATGTCAACAGTTGAAACACTATTCACCTCTCATTTACTATTCACTCTTAGTTTTTTTTTTTTAATTTTCAAATTGTTTTATTTTAATCCCTAAAATTTTAAAATAAATACTTGTTCACCCCCTTATTTACTATTCACTTTTAAGTTTTTTTCCATAATTTTTAAATTGTTTCATTTTAGTCTCTAAAATTTTAATCCCTAACTCGATGCACTAAATGCCTTTTCTTTTTTTTTTTTCTTTGGTTTTTTTCATCAATTTATGTTCTTTTTTTATTTAATTGGACATTAAAATTTTTAAAAATCAATCTTTACTTTTTTCCATAAAAACTAACGATCACATAATATGTGTGATATGTTTTATATTTTAGAATAAATATATACTATTGTTTAAAATTGATCTTTTTGATTTATTATAAAAATTCTCAAGAAGCTAATTTTTATTCTTATTTTTTATATAATTTTATTCATTAATAAATATAATTTATTTTTTCTGCGTATGGATTTGAATAAGTTTTTTTACACCATTTTTTATTTTCTTAATTCTTATATAATAAAATTTTAAAAATAAAATATATGTATTTTATTTTCTTATTTTTTACATAATCAAATTTTATTGAAATCAATTTTATAGTTTTTTATTGCACTCTATTAACTTCAACATATATTTTATAATTTAATTTTTTAAAATATTTTTCTATTTATGCTATACATTCTCATTTACTTAGTACGGTCATGATGTATTAAAAATAATAATATTAGATTCATCAATTTTATTAGAAATCAACTATGCATCTACACACATAATACCAACTATTTGCTTTTATATTTTAAAATTATTTTTCTTAAAATAAAATAAATGTAACAATATTTTATAATAACCGCCTAATGATTCAAATACAATGTTGTATACTAATATTATTCATTATTTTGTAAAGAAATATATATAAATCAGATGTACATATTTAAAAAAATATATATATTATCATCGGTAAAAAAACTTCATTTGTTAATTTTCATATAAGTTTTTATATTAATTATTGCTTTATTTTTTTGATGCAATGTTATCAAAAAAATATTAAGATGTTTTTTTAAATTTTATACTAAAATTTATTTATTATGAATTTTTTATTTAGGAATAAATGCATAAGAAAGAACAAATCATATATTTTTATACTTCAAAATTTATTCAAAACATAAAATATATATATATATATATAGATACAAAATTTTTATTAAAAATTATAAAATTAAATAAAATTTTATCTTTTATATTTAATTTAATATATTTTAATTAACCGACAACATAGTATATATTATCAAACTGAGATAAATATATTTAGTTCGGTTGGTAGCCTAACGCGGAATCCAAACTGTTCATATGTCTAAAATTTCTATTCACTTACCATTCATATGCATAAAATTACTATTCATTTGATGGAAATTTAAGTAAAATTTTTGTGTGTTTTTTAGCGTTAATATGTAAATTTAACATTTTTTTTTATTTTTTTCCCTCATGTTGTGATGTTGTTTTTCAATCCTTAGCTTTTTCTTTTTTTATTTTTTCACGTAGCGTACACACACACGCACATATACTATCTTTTTATATTTTCAAATTAATATATACTTCAGCTTATAGTACTCTTATTATTTAAATTTCATTATTTGAATTTATCATTTTTTTAAAAAAATTCTCATCCAATATTTTTTATATATAATCTTATTTACTGATAAATATAATTTATTTTACTCTATGTTTGAATTTTAGAATAAAATTTTAAAACATGATTTTTTTCTTTTATTAAAAAATAAATTGATATATATATCATGAATCCTTAGAATTTTTAAATGATAGTTGCATATATATATATATATATATATATATATATATATATATATATATATATATATATATATATATATATATATATATATATATATAAGATTAAAAGTATATTTTAAATAATTTGTATCGATTCACTAAGTATGATCAAAACATATAAAAAAAAAACTATTGAATCATTATTTTTTATTAAAAATTAACTATACAATTTTTGATATAATACAAATTATTTACTATGAATTTTTTTTAACATCATAGAACCAATTTATTTAAAATAAATAATTAAAATAAGTTTTTAAGGGAACCAACCAATTATTCAAATATAGTTTTTTTATGCTAATTTTATTGGTTAATTTGTAAATAAATATATATAGATCAAATGAATATACTTTAAAAAAATAATCTTCTCACCAACATTAAATAAGAATAAAATTTTATTTTTCATTAGTTAACTTTTATGCAAGTCCATATATTAATTGTAACTTTATTTTTTTGATATATTCTTATAAAAATATCTTTTTAAAGTATTTATTTTTGAATTCTTAATATTACAAGTTTGTATTTAAGAATCCTAAATAAAGAATAATAAATCATGTGTTTTTAAAGCTGAAATTTTATGAAAAAAAATAGTACTAATTAAATGAAAAATCAATGAAAAAATTATAAAATTTTGAAATGATTTTTTTATTTACCCGTAGCGTTGAGTGGATAATTTCAAAAATTAATCTTCATATCAGCATTAAATAAGAATATATTTTTTCATTTGTTAGTTTTTATAAAAGTCAATCGATTTATTATAACTTTATTTTTTGGAATACAATATTATGAAAAATATATATATTAATATTTTTTTGAATTCTTGATTAATATTTTAATTAAAATTAAGCCATAAAGAAGAATGATTTATTTTTTAAAAAACAAAAAAAATTAAGAAAACTATTTAAAAAATTAATTAAATAAAAAATTATAATTAAAAATTTTTAAAATTTTAAAATGATTTTTTTTACCGAGCCTGCAACGTAACCTACTTGTTAGCCTCTAAAAAACTTGAGTAACAATTTAACACTTACACTAAATTTGATGGCATATTGATAAATGAATTGATTCTAGTATGAGATTGTTCAAGATACACCAATCATAAACGCTTTGAAATTATCTTTGAATAAAGTGTAACCTATAAGAACACAAACTCAAAGAAATAATGAATATTAATGATTTGGTTCATCGAAATTAAGAGCAATGGGTGCTCCTAGACAAACAAAGACGTGATGATTCGATCCAAGATACTATGCAAAATCAGAGGGACATTGATTGTCTTCGATATCAACTCAATCATTTGTGCAGATCTTGTATTTGGGGTTTTTCGGACTTCAATGCTCCTCCACGTGATGACTAAGAGTTAGAAGATGATTTGGGAGCAAGAGGTGGACCTAGAAACGAATGAGCCCATGCATATCGATTCTGATGATCCAGCTAAGGACTTCGAGGAGTGACTTTGTTTGTACACTTGATTATCCATTTCTGAAGTTCATATTCATGCATTTTCTTTATCTTAATTTATTTCGAATTTTTTAGATTGATAACCATTTCGCACGTGATTTTGGTTATCATTTTTCATGTCTTGATTTGTATTAATAAATGCTAGCTAGCATACTAAACTACGAATTAAATCTACATTAATTTTCATAATTTAATAATGAATAAAAATAGTTTTGCTCTTTTTTAATTCTTGCATATCATTTTCTCAACATGTGCATTTAGCACGTTTGATAGGAGCATTAACATTGAATTGTGTAATCTTTATGTTTAAAAAGAACATTAATGGTTAGATATCACTAAAATTGAAGAGATTGTTCCATCAAGGGTTCAATTAATATTTGCTTTGATGTACCAAACATTAATTATATTGAGTTAGTGATGATTTTTTGTAAGAATATGTTTATAAAATTTATGATTATATATTTATTTATGGGACCATTTATTCTTTATTCTTTCAAATTTAAACTATTCGTTTGACTACTATTCGCAAGAAAATTTTGCTTCACCCATTACCCTTCCCTCTTTTTTCTACATGGCCTACGACAGGTGGTCAAAAATTATTTGAAATAGCCTTAAAAGTAAGCAGTCGCTTGGGCTTCCATTTGGTAAGTTGGACCTAACTGTCGTCGTGAAAGGCCTGCTTTTACAGTAGTTTGATTGACTCTTGCTCTATTCATATAAATACAATCTCTCTCGTCTTTTTTTTTTTTTTAACCATCCTTGTTCTTGTATCATTTACGCATAATTTGCATAAAAATATTCAAAATTTCGCTTTATCCAAAAAGAATTTGGTTTTTTAATTGTATTTTGTGAACTTAAATATTTTTTTCATCGAGTAAAAATTATTGTTAAAATATAAGCCATGTTTCAACAACTTTGTATATAAATTGTGAGTTTTTATGAGAGTTTGAAGGTTTAATCTTGATTATTTGAAAAATTAATATTTAAAAAAAAAGATGAGGCCTCACATTTTAAAAAGTCAAAAGTGATAATATATTATTTGAATTTTTTGTTTAAGAAGTGGAATAGACGATTAGAGTGGACTCATTGTACATCCGTATATAACTCTCTTCTCTCTCTCATTAATTATTGATTATATTTATTTTGTAGTTAAATGCTTAATTGGTTACCAATAGATTTCTAATCTAGTAACAATGAGTTTTTTGCACATGTAAGAAGTCATAAGTTTAATTTTTTTTTTTAGTAGTATTTCGACCTAAAAAAGCATCATTACAAGAAAAGATCAAAGCAATCCTTTATCTTTATAATGGTGATCATTTTAGTTCGTTGTTATAATACAACCCTCTCTCATACCTCGCTAACTACTAACGTTAATTTCCTAATGTCTAATAACTAAATGGATTGCGGGATCCTTATCTATGGTTAAAAAAATACTTAATTAGTTAAATTAGTTAACCGTGATTAATTTTATGATTACTTGACAAAGTTAAATAAGGATTAGCTTTAATTAAAACATATAATTCGCTCCATTTCTTAGGTGTTTTGGTTTATAAACTTCATACTACTTTTTTTTTCCTTCAAATTGATCCTTAATTATGCAAATCTTAAAAAATAAATAAGTAGTTAGAAGGATGTAATATTTTACTTTGATTATTATTTTGATTATGAATTGATCATTAAAGTTTTCTTTTCTTTCATTTAAGTCCTTTAAACTGTGATTTAATATATTAGACATTTGAAAGAAAATACAATTAAATGTCTAAATATATATTTAATTCAAAATCACTTTATCAATCCACGAATCATATTGCATTTATCATTAATAAATTACACTATAATAGAAAAAATAAACTCGTTAGTTGGTTAATTACATTACTATTTACTACATACATTATTATTTAATAAAATACACTTTTTATTAAATTCTTGAGTTATTATTACATGTTATACTATTTGTAATATCCGTGATAAAAAAACCTTATTTGAAATGTAAATATATTGTATGGATATTTTGTAAATTAATAAAATATGTATTTATTGAATGACTGAGTGAATTTTGAAATTCAATTAAGGATAAAATAAATACAAGTAAAATTAATGAAATGGGTTTATGGTACAAGGAAATATTGAATTAGACAATGGCATCCTTAATTGATATGGTTATGCATTGCCATAGGGGTGCAATTGCAAAACCTAAGGATATAATTGCAAAGATTAAAGGTTTAAGTCCTTAATTGAAATAATTAAGAAACCTTAGAGACTTGAATTAACTTTAGGATTGGCCTAGATGAGGACCAAATTGATGAAAATTGTGAAGTTACGAATTGAAATTTCATGATCAATTGCAAGGATTGGAAGTTTAAAGACTAAGGTGTAAAGTACTTATCACGTAAAGGACTAATTAGTTGAACTTAAGGGAAAAAAAGAGTTAGAAAAATCTAGAATTCCATATTTAAGAGAGGAGAGAGAGATGGCTGAAAGGAAAAGAAAAAGGAGAAAGAAGAAAGGAAAATCTAGGGCAAGAGAGAAAGACGGAGACTCCACCTATCAAAAACCACCACTTCTAATCACTCTAACTAGTTTAGCAACACTTTAAATTAGCTTCCAAACCATCTTAGAAGATCAAATAGGGAGAAGGGAAGAATTCTCCACTTTGGTCGAATTTTTGAAACTAAAAGGAAGGAAAAAACCGATGAGGGAAAGAAGGAGAAAGGCAAAAGTCTAAGTGAGTTAATATAATTCCTTACCTATATCATAAGAATTAGATATTTGAAGTGTGATTTGGTGTTAATTTATAGCTTACACGATGAAGGGTTAATAGGTGTGGTATTGTGAATTGAGTGTTAATGATTGGATTAAAATGGTTTGGTGATATATATATATATATATGTGAAGAAAACGATGTTTAAATGCTTGAACTAATTGAATGCCGATGTTTGGATGTGTCCTTGTTCAAGGAACAAGTTGAATGAACAACTCCTAAGTAGATATAAGTTGGTAGTTACCTTATCCAATGCCTACCCAATGTTTGATGAAATGTCTTACGGACATTCCTTAGGCTAGATTGAAAAAATGAGAGGTTGTCCTTCACTTAGCCCAAATTCGATTAAGTATGAAAAAACAAGGGCAAAGAGAAAATTGTCAAATGTGAAGTTTGGAGAATTAAGAGGAATGAGAATGATTATATTTATATGAAAAATTGATTGATTATAGTGCTTATTTGCTTGCCCATGAGATGATGTTTATTGTTTTTATGGAATGTGCACAATATGTTTTATGTTGCATGCATACTTATGTTATTGGAACATGTAATTGATGTATCATGTTGTGCATGTTCTTGAGGATTTTCAAAAGGTATGCATGTTGAGAAAATGTTCATGGCATTGCATTCTCGCTCAAATGCGTATGCATATCATTATCATGAAAGAAGATTTTTTTTATTCATGATTTTGATGAAAGGAAAAGGCAAAAAGGTTTTAAGGAAAAAGAAGAAGGGTTTTCTTGATTTTTATGATTTTCATGATAATGTCATTTCTTCATCGAGGGATTCGATAAAAGTCTCAATAGTTTGAGGATTTGATGAAGGCCCCAACGGAAGAAATTGGCCCACTTCTTCGTCGAGAGATTCGGTCAAGGCCTCGACAGTTAGGGAATTTGGTAAAGACCCCAATCGAAGAATGTGACAAAGACATTTCTTCGTTGAGCAATTTGGTAAAGCTCTCAATGGTTGGGGGATTTGATGAAAGCCTTAATCAAAAAAATGATAAAGGAAAGGATGCACCCTAAAAGGAAAAGGAAAATGGTTTTTAAAGGCATAAAAATTATTTTATGAAAGTTGCATAATATGCATTCATATATAAAGGACATCACATCCATTACATGAGTTATACTTATTGAGCATTCTCTTACTCACCATTTGTTTCTTATGGTCTAGAAAATGTTAAAGATAAATGAAGGGTCATTGCCAATATAAGCAATGGACTTGTCATTTTGTGTGCTTTGGCTTTACGTTAATGAGGATGGGAATCATATATGGCTTATTTTGATTTTTAGGGTAAAGCAAGTTAGGCATTTTTTGTATTTATGTAAATTATTTAATGAAACATTATTTTGGTATAAATGAAAATATTAATTGAATGTTAAGTCATAATATGCCAATCTTGTGTTGTTATAGTTTATGAATGCTTAAAATGACTAATATGGCTAAGATGATATAATTAATAGGATTAAGGAAATGGTTGCAAATCGGAATAAAAAGTGAGAAATTAGGAAGATATACTAACGTGAAGACTAAAAGAAAAACTTAATGACTAAACTATTGGAGAAGAGTTGGCATAGAGTTAATGGAATTCAAGAAGAAAATTTTATACCCAAATTATATATAGGTGGACCTAGTATCCCATACTCATTAAGGACCTAATGTAGAAGATGCCTAGTTCCGTTAGTGCACTCAAATGTTAAGGAGAGGAGGCTTATTGGCTTGCATTCATTACGATCCAAATGTAAGTTAATGCCGATAATATCCACAATCTATCTAGATTCTAGGTCGAGGGTGTTACACTATCATTCCATATCAATTAGATTAGTCATATTATTGGTGGAATGTCCTCTTCTTGGGCTCTTTTCCTTTCTTTTGTCTATTTATATTTTGCCATGTTTTCTTTTCCAAATCTAAATCACTATCCTTTTTATTATCTTTTTTTTTTTCACTTTTTCTACCTTATCTTTGGTCTTTTTTTTTTTTTTCCTTTTCTCTCTTTTGATATTTTTTCCTTCCACTTTTTAGTTCTCTTTTTAATTTTTTTTGGTTGGTTGCTTTTTTTTCCCTACAAAATTACAAAATATGTGAAAATATCAAAAATCACAAAATAGATAAAAATTTAGAGAATTGGTGGAATTGTATGAAAAAAAATACTTTTCTTTTGTTAATTTTGTGTTGAATTTTGAGAAATTAAGAAGGGATAAAACATGATTATTGTCCAATATTAAGTAATGATATTAGTAAAGTTTATATATAATTAAATTGGATTACATGTAATCAACTTTACCCATGAAGGTGATGAAAAAATCTAATTAAAAAAGGATACTGTTAAATTTATCAATATTTTATTATTCTCGACAAAATTTTTATTGTAAATTATCAACACATTATCATCATATCAAACGAGTAAGCAAATAAGAATCAAATGTGAGGATTTGTTAATAATTTATAATAAAAATTGATAAAAATAACAAAATATATGATAGATTCAATAATATAATTTTAAAAAATCACTTTTTAGTCAATGAAACAAAATAATTGATGAAAAGCTGCTGCATTTTGGTCTATTTCAATTACAATATATCTAAAAGGCACGTGGTTCTGACTGTTCACACACATGGAAGCACGCACTTGTGTAATTGAGAATATATATATTTCGTAACTTAAGAACGAAAACGTGTTGGTAGTCCAACGGTTAGGGTAATTGCCATCCAAGCAATGCGCCTGAGTTCGATTCTTGGTAGACATTTTTAGAATTGTTTTTCCATTCACTATTACCTCTCTGTGGTTTTTTTCTTTTTTTGATTGCTTAGCCAAAGCTTTTAGGGGATTTTATATTATTATTTTGATTCTTGTTTTGTAATAGTTTTTTAATTTTATCATTAACAATTGATTATATCACTATTTGCCTCCCTTTTTTCCATGTTGTTTAGCCAAGCTTTTAGGAAATTTTTTTATTTTGGTCCCTATTTTATAATATATTTTTTATTTTGATCATTTAAAATTTATTATATTTGATTTTATCTCAATAATAAATATTATTATATTATTATATTATATTTTTATCCCTATAGTAAATATTTTTTTTATTTTGATCATTAAAAATTTATTATATCATTGTTGGCCCCTCCTTTTTTTTTTTCCCAATTGCTTAGCCCAGACTTTTAGGGATTTTTTTTTTTTTTGGCATTTAAAAATTTATTATATTTGATTTTTTTTTCCTATAATAAATATTAAAATTTTATTATACTTGATTTTTATCCAAATAAGAAAAAAATTTTCTTGGCTTTTAGTAAAAATTTATGTTCTTTTTTTGTTCTTATTTTGTGATATGTTTTTATTTTAATCATTAAAATTTTATCATGTTTGATTTTTATCCTTACTATACAAAACTAAATAAAGTTTATTATCCTAATTTTTTTTTTTTGCTTTTAGTTAAACTTTTCTTTTTATTATAATTCATGTTTTGTGATTTTTTCTTTGTTTTGACCATTAAATTTAGTAAAATTTTTGCTTTAGTCACTGTTTTGTAATTGTTTTTATTTATTTATTTTAATCATTAAATTTTTATTATATTTGATTTTTTTTCATACAAGGAACTGTTTTTTACTTTTAGTAAAACTTTTTGTTATGCTTTGATTTTTGTTTTGTGATCTTTCTTTTATTTTGATCATTAAATTTTTATTATATTTGGTTATTATTTATTCTATATTAAAATTAAATATAGTTTCACTATTCTAAGCTTTTTTTTAGCTTTTAGTAAAAACTATTTTTTGTTTTGTCCTATTTTGTTTTTGTTTTTTTTTTTAATTTTGGTCATTAAAATTCTATCATATTTTAGTCTTGTCCCTACCTTATGCAAGATGAACTTTTTTTAGTCTTATTGTTTAATTTTTGTTTTTCTTTTACTAAAATTTTTTATTTATTTTGATCATTCTTTTATGATCTTTACTTTTTTTTATTTAATTTTTATCATATATAATTGTATCTCTATTTTTTTTTTTTGTCAAATTGTCAATTTGACAAAGCTTTTTTGTCCTTTTGTTTTTTTGTGGTTTCTCTATCTTATTAACAAATTACAAATGAATAATATATGATAAAAATTAATCATCTAAAATTCAAAAAACTATCGCATCATTATTTTAATTACCAATTATTATACATATTTTAAAGAAAATACATATTTATATCAAACAATATCTAATTAGTAACATTATATTAATTATTTTTAGGCTTTTTATTTAGCTAACTCTACAATAAAATATGAAATATATGTTTTGATTCGTTTTTAAATTTTTTTTTTTACATGATCCTTTTAAATAATTATTTTTAAATTTTTTATTTTATATAAATGAATATATAAAAATATTATATAATTAAAATAAGATTTTGAATATTACGAAACGCATGAATATTTGATCCATTTTTCAACTGATACTAAATACATCGGTCCAGATTAAGTAAAACGACACAGACAACTAAAATCTATTCATCCTCCACTACTAGGGGTGCAGAAAAGAGTAAATGGTAACTATAGTTTAACAAAACTAAATAATTAATCCTTGTCGTTTGAAATACTATATATTTAATTCCTATATTTTCATATTTAATCATAATTTAGTTTTCTAGCCAATTTCATGTCCTTTTCAATTTGATTTATTTATTTATTCTAAAAAAATAGAACAAAGAAAATAAAAATAGGTAAAAGAAAATTGAAAAAATGTAGGGACTAAGGACACCTAGTGGCTTATTCAGTTATGATACTATATGGATTAATTAAATAAATTTGAAAAACTGTAGGGACTACGGACACCGAGTGGCTTATTCCTTAAAAAGAAAATTGCGCAATTGTACCACCACCAGCAACATTTTTGCGGTGTCGGTGAGATCCCCAATTTCTCTCCAATTTTGCAAGCAACGAAACAAACAGACACCTCTCAGTTCTCGCGCAAGCTCTGTCCCTCTCCTTCTCCTTCTCCTTCTCTGTTTGGTCTCTTTGATTCTTTGGCTTTGCTCTCCCTTCAAAGAAATAATAATAATAATAATAATCCAATTAGTTAAAATCAAATCCGATAAGATCTGATCTGATCTCAATGGCGGCTTCCAGGCGTCTTCGGGAGCTCCAATCGCAACCAGCCAATAAGATCTGCGTCGACTGTTCCCAAAAGAACCCACAATGGGCTTCTGTATCTTACGGTGTCTTCATGTGTTTAGAGTGCTCCGGCAAACATCGTGGCCTCGGTGTCCACATCTCCTTCGTCCGATCCGTCACCATGGATTCCTGGTCAGAGATCCAGATTAAGAAGATGGAATCCGGCGGAAATGACAAGCTCAATGCCTTCTTAGCTCAATACGGTATACCTAAAGAAACAGATATCGTCGCCAAGTACAACACTAACGCCGCTACTGTTTATCGTGATCGGATCCAAGCACTAGCGGAGGGTCGGTCTTGGAGGGACCCGGCGGTCGTTAAAGAAACTATTGGTAGCAAGAGAAGGCCCCCGCTGGCTCAATCTGGAGCTGCTGGTGGCAGAAATGGTAATTCTGGTAGTAATGGAGGGTGGGACAATTGGGATAATGATGATTCCTTTAGATATTCTTCTAATGATGTAAGGAGGAATCAATCGGTTAGCGATTTTAGGGGGGTAATACTGGTGGTGGTGGTGGAATGGGAGGGATGCCTGTGAGGTCGAAATCGACGGAGGATATATATACGAGGTCGCAATTGGAGGCTTCTGCAGCGAATAAGGAGGGTTTTTTTGCTAGAAGAATGGCAGAGAATGAGTCGAAACCTGATGGGATTCCCCCTTCACAAGGTGGAAAGTATGTGGGATTTGGATCCAGTCCTACATCTACACAGAGGAATAATAATTCGCAACATGATGTTCTCTCTGTTGTGTCACAGGTATTGGGTTGAAGCTCTCTCTTTTTTTTAGCGGATGAAAATGATTGATTGATCGGTGATCTACTTGTTGTTTGGACTTGTTATGCAGGGATTTGGTAGGTTATCTATGGTGGCTGCATCTGCGGCTCAGTCAGCTGCCAATGTTGTCCAAGCGGGCACAAAAGAGATAACTTCCAAGGTATTTGGATTTAATTATCTAGTTAGGATGAAGGCATGTTTCTTATTTCTTCTTTTGAGTTTTGCCATTCTAAGTTTTGGATATCCTAGGATTGCTATGAAGCAATGCAGTATCAAATTTGGTACTGGTTACTGGATCGTATTTGTTATCCTTTAATATGAATGCCCGCTTGTTTGTTCTAATACTGATATCGCTTAGCAGGTCAACCTAGTGTTGTCTGTCTATAGAGGGAGGTGGGCCTCATTGTTAGTGCTAAGAAGACTAGGTTAAAGTACTTGTCTTGGTAACATGGAAGAGAATCGTGCATGATTTGAAGGAATTGTTGCTAATGACACTGTTGGAAATGGCACCAATTTCTGTCGTACTAACTGAGATGATAGAAATGGTTGTGGTATATTGAGACTCTAAGGGCGTTAACTGAGGGTTGTGAGTGGTCATCACAACTGATCATAAGATTGCTTAACTGCTGTGATGGAGGTGAATGGTTGAGTTTTCTGGTAACTAAGAAACTATTAGTTTTTTCAAAATGATTTTTGTTTTGCCGTAAATTAGACAAATGATTGATGTACAAGGCCCATTGCTAGAAGTTAGTATGCTGTTATAACATTGCTAATATCTTGCAGGTGATAACTGAATGGGGTAGATTTTGTGATTATTAGTAGCATGTATTTTTATTCTAGTTAAACAAGGGATGAAAGTTAGGATTTTTCGTACAGTCTCTTTGATTTCTGTCCAGCTCTCTACACTTATAAATTCTATATATTATAAATTTTGTTATGGTGGTTGAGCGAGTTCAGTCACAGTTTAAAACTTTTTACTTGCATAAAGAAGCTCATTTATTAAGGTATCCAAAAGTTTCAATTGGTGCCATTGTTTGATTATATTTAGAATAAGAGACCCCTTGCCTAGAGTTCCAACTCCATTTATAAACCCATCATTTAAGGGCCTGTTTAGTAGTTTATTGAAAACTGTTTATTTTAAGTATATTTGGAGCAAGAGACCCCTTATCTAGAGTCTTGACTCCATTTATAGACCTGTACTTATGGTCTGTTTGGTTATTTACTGAAAATTGTGTAGTTTTTATGATAGTATGTAAAGGAAAAATAGTTGTCTAGGAATTAGTTTATGAAATATAAAAATATATTATTGGCGAAGAAATATAAAAACTAGCGGTGACAATGTTTTGTAGTTATGGTGATGAGATAGTGGTCATGAGGTGGCAGTGGTGGTCATGGCATATAATGGTGATGATGGATGTAGTAATTCCAAATTCATGTTGGTGTTACTTTATTGGCCATGAGTAGTGGTGGTAAGGTAGTAAGTGTAGTGGCAGTGTAGTAAGGTAGTAAGTATAGTGGCAGGCACAACTTGGCAACAACAACGATGGTTAGAACATGGGTGGTGGTTTTTGTTGGTGATAATGACAGTTGTGATAGTATGGCAGTGATAGTCATAGCATACATGCAATGGTTATAGTGGTAAATGTGCTGGTAGTGCTGGTCGATTTGATGATAATGGTGGTGTGGCAAGGGAGGTGGTGGTGATGATGATTATGAAGGGTTTAATAGCATAGTATACCCTTAGACTCTTAAACTTGTAAAAATTTTGTTCTTATGTAATATTTCGACAGATTGAATCCTTTAAGGATTTAGTCTTGCCATCCACTCATGTCAATTGGAGTGGGTAGAGGTCAAACACTTAAGACATTTTATTATGAAGAAGTGACATTTTTATTTAAAATAATGTAAAAAGATAAATATAAAAGAAAAAAAAAACCACACACACACTCCCACCAAAAAAAAAAAAAAGTTTAATATAATAAACCAAAGAGAGAGAAGAATTAAAGACATGAAAACTCAAATCCACTCCAAAACCTAGATAATCTTGCAAGGGAACATTATTATGGAGTTAGTGAGTGCTTAGCAAGCAAGAGCGGGAGTGAATTGGGTTTGATGTTTTGTTTAGATTAGTTTTATTTTCTTTACATAATGCCCTGGGGGGGTTGTGGGTGGGTGATGGGATTTGTCTTAAGTTTTGTTTCTTTTTGTTTTTACAAATTTCTAATTCTTTTGTTCAGGTTTAAGTGATTGGTGACAATACTTTTTATTGTTTGCTTTCAGGAGTTCATTTTTAACTCCTTATCTGTTCAGTTTTGAGTCTTCTGTGGGATTTAATTTGTTTTTTTAATTATTATTATTATTTTTAGCCACCTGTCAACTATTTTCCCATCAAGCCATCTCTCTTATGCTTCAGAAGACCTTTCAATACACAAATAATAATAATAATAAATGCAGTATTTTGCAGCCAAAATGTTGAATGAGTAAGAATAATGCAAATCTGGAATAACAATGTATTTTCACCTTTTATTTTTCTCTGAGATGGGATATTGCCTTACTGCTTATCCAAATATTGCCTATAAAATCAAATTAGGATAGATAAATTAGGGAATCATAGTGTATAAACGATAATTAGATCTGCTATGCTTTATAATACTGAGACTCGAGTGTTGGAAAACCAATATTTTACAACATGGTCATGGCATGGGAATTCTAAGCTGAATGATTGAAAAGGCAATAAAGCACGGATCAAGAAAGTAATTTGTTTGTAGGAAGATGGAGGTGACAGTCATAGAGGGTAACTGAATCGAAGGCTGGTTAAGATATTTTGACTATTTAAAAATGATGATTGACCTGAGTGTTTGTTAATGAGAGGAAGTGATTGGATTGAAAAATTGGGAGTTATGCGGGGAAAAGCTAGGCAAGGAATCCCATGGACTGTAGTGGTAAAAAAAAGTATTTATTATCCTTACAACTCATGCAGAGTTGGACATGGAGAAGATCGAGCAGCTGCTTTTGAGTTTGATTTGGCAATATTCTCTCCTTTGATCAAGCTAGAAGCAATTCTAAATATTGTTTTTTGATGCAACTGGGATGGTGTTCAACCTGCAACAAATGGATGGTGCTATTCTATTGTTTAGATGGAAAACAAACCAGGATATTAGGGATTCATTATTTATTGGTTTCCTTGAATGTGTAAAAATTGTGGGATGAAAGAGTGAGCTAGTGTCACAACAGCTTACAAATGTTTAGCCATAGCTCAAGTGAATAGAGGCGTGGATTCATATAGCTGACCAACTACTTGGGTTTGAAGCTTAGTTGAGTTGTATGTTCCCTGCCCTTTGTCCTATCACTTTGTTTTTGTCTCAACATGTTAAATCATGTCTGTGTTGAATATATTAGTGATGCAAACAACAAATGAAGCAAAACTTGTATCTTTTTGTAGACAAGGGTGTTTCTGTAATTTTTGGAAGATCTGGAAATTGTCCAAGCCTAGGTTTTATTTTCTATTTAGTATTTTATTAGTCCTAAAGAGTAACTAGCTTTATTAGTTTTTTCCCATTCTACATAGACTCAGTATTTCCTTGTTTAGGAATCTAAGTCCTTAATGGATTTGGACTACTAGAACTCTATAAATAAGCATGTAGTCTTCTATATTTATGAATAGAAGTTTATGAATAAAATTCCAGCAATTTGTTTTTGATTGTGTGATCAATCTTCCTTAGGCGTTACTCCTATGAACCCTAGATGTGAAGCATAGGTTTTTCTGTCCTCTACGTATCTCATAAAAACCCCATTAGTTTGACTCTAATAGTTTTATAATTCCAGAAAAAATCCACATCAATAGGGACCTAAACACCCCCCTAAACCATCCTACATCAATCTGTCCCCATTTGCTGTAATAACTTATTTTTTTAATGATAAATTATTCTGATAAGTTTTTGGTTATATATGAAACAAGAAGCCCCAAAAATTGGAATTAGATTAATTTGCTCCATGAATAAACCTTGATCGCAGGTAAAAGAAGGTGGCTATGATCACAAGGTGAATGAAACTGTAAACGTTGTAACTGCAAAAACAACAGAAATTGGAAATAGGACATGGGGGATGATGAAAGGGGTAATGGCAATGGCTTCACAAAAGGTCGAGGAGTACACTAAAGAAGGCTGGAACAATGACAACTGGCAACGAAATGATAGTCAGAGTAATGGATATTATCAAGAGTTCAATAAGCAGGAAAATAAAGGATGGAATTCTTCTCCTGGTGGACAATCCTCGAGTGGGCATCATAATTCTTATAACTCAAGTTCTTGGGATGACTGGGACCAGAAAGACAACAGGAAGGAAGATAGCATAAAGTCGCCTGCATCGCATAGCAGTGATGGTTGGGCAGGTTGGGACGATGCCAAAGATGATGGATATGATGATAATTTCCACCATAGCACTCCCAGTAAGGAATCCGCTAGTCACAATGGAAAGTCAGATGCCTCATGGACGGGGGAGGCTTTCTTTAGGTATGCTTTTAACTCAATATCTTTGTTGTTTTTAAATCTGTGTGAAATTTGCTGCAAAATGGCAAATGTTTCAGTGTTTGGAATGATTTCTGTTGACCTGTATATTGCTTTCTAATCCTGTTATCAGGTAGATTCATATTACATTCTTGCGGAAACCCTGGTCTACTCTGAAACATTGGTTAGTTCTCGAACTGATGCTTGGCAGGCTGCAACGATGACAGAAGTGATGAATATGAATTTACACTACGGTGCAGCAGATTAGAAAACTGTTGGCTGGTGTCTCGTCTCATCATGTGGGTGGAAAATGTCTTGTTTAGATTGGTATATTTACTGCTACTCTTTTTTCATTTAATTCTTTTTTGTTTAAAATTTTTTATGCATTTTTCTGTTTCTTGTGTGTTTGAAATTAGTTTATATATACAACTTTAAACAGGGAGGGCTAATAGCCTAAATCAAAAGAGACTGCTCTTTCTGTGCGAGGACATTATGTGACTTGAAAAGTCAACATTTCTTTGTAATTGTGATGAGACTGTTGTTTTCTAATTTTTTTTTCATTCATGTAGATTTCCTGTTTTCCGCAATTAAAATCCTTCTGTTCTGAGGCCTGGAGAGTAATTTCACTTTTTCTTCAAAATTCTTGCTTGAGAACGTAATGGATTAGGAGAAAAAACTCTTGCGTGCCAGCACAATGGTTTAATTAGCTCAAGCCTCATCAACGGACCACTTAAATTTTTTATTTTTCTAAAATGCCAAACTAAAAATATGAGTGTTATTTCATTTAGCTAAACTACACTTGCATATTTTTTTTGGTTACTTCTATGCGTCTTTGTTTATTTCGATTTGAGATTTGAAAAGCGATAATTGCTCTATAAATATATAATTTTTTTTCGCAATTGAGTATGTGAATTATAATTTTTATTTGAATAGGTTTATTTATTCAAAAATGCCAATCAATTTTTTTCATTAATTTTTTAATAATGTCTATTATAATTTTTTTTAGTGCATTGAATTTTCCCAAAAAAAAAAAAAAAAACTACTAATAACGTTTTTTTTTTTTTAACTGAGGAGTGTGATTTTTTCTTTTTCTTATGTCGGAGGGAACTTTCCCTTCAAATGCTTTCAAGCAATGAATGTTTTATGAAATTTCATGATTTTTTTTTTTTTTTTTTTTGTTAAGGTTTGAAATAATAGAATAATTTGGGAGGAAAGTTTTATGATTTGATATTTTGGCACTTCAATGAAAATATATATTTGATTGGTAGTTTTTTTTAAAAAAAATTAGTATATTCAAACGAAAAAAAAAATTTACATAATTGACAAAAAAAAATTATGGCAATATCATATATTATTTTATTTCAATTTTAACTCTTGTTCAAAATTTCTCTGAATGAGAAAAAATGTGATTATTGTTTTATTTATTTGATTAAAAATAGTAATTTCATATATTAATATAAATCAAACAAATACATTAATGTCTTAAAAGTTATGCATACAACCAATTTGTAGATAATTTTAAAGTTATAATCTAATCAATCATAATCATTATTGTAGCGGTTTGGTATAGTCCAAACCTTTTGTATATATATATATATATATATATATATATTCTGATTTGGATCTGTATGTAGTAAATGAATTCGACAAAGTGATAGAATTTGAAACTTTTGGAACCCACACCCTTCATCGACTGGTGGCCTGGATTTCCTAAGGTTGAGTCTCAAAAGGCTTAAAATGTAGGAGTTTGTATTGCAAGAATGAGATCCAATTCGCAATAACAAGATTGATTCAACAAATGTCGATTGGAATCGGAACCAAAATTAGACTTGAGTGTGAACAAGCATGAAGATAATTGATCTTTAAATGTTATTTGCTCCCATTGTAATGCAGCAGTAGTCTGTGGATTCAAACAAATACGCTTTTACAATTATACAAAGACCTTAGGGGACTTTTGGTATCAATATAACATAGACCTTATGGGACTTTTGGTAGCAATATAAAATACCCTTAATAAGAAAATCTAAAAAAATAAAAATAAAATAAACTAAAAAACTTCTTGGAAAACAAGTCCTTTTTTTTTTTTTTTTAAAGGTATCTTCATACTAGTTATATGTTAATCAAAACTATATTTCTCTCTAGGTAATTTTAAGAGCACATCATCCACATCGATAAACAGTGACGCTGCTCTAGGCTTAGCTTTAATGTTGGCTTCAAGGTTTCAACATCAATCGAAACTAAATTTATCTTAAAATGATTTTAAGGACATAATTTCTATATCGATTTAGTGTATTAAAAAAAATGTAATAAAATTTTCTAAATGGTGATTCTAAAATCTGAACCTAAAAGGTTAAATAAGACAAGCAAATTGGTTTCATAAGTAGACTAAGAAAACTAAGTTAAAATTACAATTATTATGTATAAATGATTTAGAAGTACCTCATTTTAAGAAAAAGAATTCGTAAAAAATAAAATTTTATGAAAATAAAGAAACTCTCTTATTAAGAGAAGAATTAAATATTTCTTCCGTCTTAAGATATTAAAATGTCATAACAAATAATAATTTTTTTAATCTATGTAAAATGAACTTTTTAGTATAGAAAGAGGAACGAATATGATTTATCGACATATATGTGATAAAAAAGCCCATATATAATTCTTTTGTACTAAATGTAGGAGATGTATCTTTTTAAAATAGCTTGCCGAGCTCATTACTCTAAGTAATGTGCTCCCTAATTGCTGGCAAAATCTCTCGTATTTTCTCTCTTTTCAGGGAACTAAAGGTGACCTTTAAGGTTTGCACTGTTTTGCAGGTGTAACTCTCCAGTACAGTTGGGCGGCGGCGGCGGGAGTATCATGGGAAGATATAATTAACGCCCATGGCCCATACAATGACTGGTGAGTGGCGACTGACGTATGACGTATGACGTCCAAGTCAATTGTCCTCGAGGGGAGGAGGATATTTGTGCGTGCGATCTGATTGGGGTCAGACCGACCGCATTTAGTGCAAAAGTCACTGCGAGATAAAATTATTGATAACTCCTCCATTAAAAATTCTTTTTAAAAAATAATATTTTAAAAATATGAATAAAAGATATTGATCAAGAGTAATAATTTTTTTATTCTGTATGAAAAAAAAAAAAATTTAGGCAAAGAGATTAGCTACTTTTTTTTAAACAAAAAATAAAAAATTGAATATTTGGGTACAGAACTGGAACAAATCTCTTCCTTTCACGCTTGCCAATTTACTGGGTGGGGTGAAAGGTTATCTGGAAAAGCAATTTTATTAAGTTGGGTTCGAAAGGGCATACAAGACATTAGAGATAAAAGGAAAAAAAAAATCATGTTTGGTTTTTGTATTTATTTTTTGTTTTCTATCCATCTGTAATATACCGATATTGTAAAATCAAAGGCAAGAAAAGACCTTCTTTTTATTTTCTGCCACGCAAACACTGGAAACACCAAAAGAAATATATCAATTTTTGTTTGTTGGCTGGTACCGAACAAACGAACAATCTTCTCTCTCTCTCTCTCCACCGGCACGCAATCAAAGCTCATAGTTTCATCTTTGGTATTTCTTTCTCATTTTTTCATTAATCAATCATAAGAGTCCTCATGGACAGGACTAATTACTTAACGTTTGACGTACAAATATATTACACAATAAAAATAATATTATGCATTACAAAAATACAACGAAAATTTCAATTAAGATACTGACCCAGTTTGAATAATAAATTATCCAAGCAACGCAATCTGCAACTTAGTATATATATAGAATTTAATTCAACTTAAGTCTTATGAAAAATTCAAGTCCAAATTTTCATGCCAAAAATATTAGATTTGTCAAAAAATATATATATATATATATGAAAAAAAGACTACGTTAAAAATAAGTCACGCCCGGTGGGACTCGAACCCACAGTCGCCTGATTAGAAGTCAGACGCCTTATCCATTAGGCCACGGGCGCGTTTGTTTGAAAAGTGGAATATTAAATACATCAACATAAAAATATCTTTATCTGGTTACCTCGCTTGAAGAGTTAGAAATATATAAACAGTTCCTGCGTTGAATTAGAAACCAGCACCCCTTGGGGGTGCTTAGTAGGGGGTTAAAGAGAGTTAATTATTATCCTTGCAAAATTTAAGCTTTTTTTTTTTTTTTTTGGGTGGAGGTTAATTATTAAGAGTTATGGTATTTTTGGGAGTAAATTATAAATTAATTCTTCTTGTTTCAATATAAATTAATTAATTAGTTTTTCTTATTTTAAAAACTAATTATTTAATTTTTTAAAAAATCCTTTTGATTCTTTTTCAATTTATCTTTTTTTAATAAATAAAAAGGAAAAAAACGAAGAAAATAATAAAAATAACCTTTTGTTAAATAGAATAATATTAAATTAAGTATAACTAACACAAGTCGAGTAAACTAAATAATTAGTATTTAAAATAAGAAAGACTAATTAATTTGTTTTTTTTTTTTAAAAGAACGGCTAATTTATAATTTACTAGTGCTTTTGGAGGGTAAACATAATCCTCCAAGCAGTATTAACTCTTTTTTTTTTTTTCTCTTCCATTTTGATTCAAAATATATATCAAATTAATTTTTAATTATTTCTCACCAATTATTACTAAAAATTTAATTATCTTCTCTCTTTTTACTAATATTATTTAACAGCCCCTTTAGTGAAGGAATACACCAAACATCCCTAAAAACCAATTTTGCGCTCTTAAAAATTGCTATATATGTTCACATATATATACCATGTTCGCATTAGTATATATAGGATCCTTATCAGCCTGACCCGACCTCCTTTTTTTTTTTCTTCTTCTTCTTCTTCTTCTTCTTCTTTATGAACATAGTAGCAGCAGCACCAACAATAACATTAATAATTAATTTCATCAATTTTTTCCTTGAATTATCATGGTTTTTTTTTTTTTACTAAGATTGTCCTTCCGTTTGATTTAACTATTAGTATTGACTAAAAACCTCTTTTAAAAATGTTATATTTTATTATTTTTAACCGCAATTTTTTTTATAGATATTGCTAAAAAAAAGTTCAATCCACCTTCATAAATAATTTCTTTTTAAAAAAAAATCAAAAGGTATTTTTAAATTTTTGAAAATAAAAAATTTCAATAAATTATGAAAAATAAAAAATAATTTTGAATTATCTCTTTTTTAAAAAAAATAAAAAAAAGCTTGAAGGACTTCATATGAATTTATATAGATAATTTTACTCTAATTCTCAAAATTCTTGCATACGT